GAAGCCACGAGACCTAGGAAACAGAAGATACAAACAGGAGGGTGACAAAGGGAGCTTCCAGGACAACCACTGCACTCCATCAGAGCGGGCAGGTGGCCTGGGTCGGCACAAGGTGCCATTGGCACCGTGAGGTGCAGAAATGCTGGGCACAGGCTGCCTGGACCGGCCTGGGATAGTTTACACCATATTTGTATTTCGTTTATCTTGACCATTAGCTGGCAAGACTCCATTCCCCGAACCCCTGGATTAGCAGAAGATACTCATCCCTCCCTGAGGAGCGTGCCATGTTGACCTTTTCCTAAGAACTTGAGGGAGGTCCGAACAAGCTAAGAAAGTAAAATAGAAAGCAACCCCTCTCCCAGCCATGGTTTTGCCTGATGTTCAAACCACAGCCCTGCCCATTTGTCCCCACTGTGATTAACAGTCTTCCCAGGACCCTGCCCACTGATTTCCCTGAAGGCTGAACCTTCCCCAAGAAGGCTGACCTTGGGGAATCCAGAGCCTGACTCTGGCCCACACCCCACTCAGCTCATCTCGTCCACGGAGACTTTATGTATTAATGGTTTCACTGTTATTTCCTGATGGGACTGGATTTGGGTTTATTGTTTGAAGCAAAACTATATTGTTCATGGATACTTTCCAGGGTGGTAAAACTATCAAGAAAAGCAAGGGAATGAAGAACACAAAAATTAGAATAGTAATTTCCAGATGGCAGGAGGAGGGGGAGCTTTCAGGTGGGCACAAGAGAGACTCCCAGTGTTTTTCTTGATAACTTTTTTTTTAACAATCATTTTGCTCTCACCCAGGTATAAATTATGATATTCTTAGTGAGTGGCAATGTGATTAAATGTGCTTCCTTGTTTTTGAAAACCTTGGTTAGCATTCAGTGATGCAACAATTCAGAAGCCTGGTTCTGAGGTCATTTGCTCTTAACACTTGGTTTCATGGTTCTGATAGCTAAAAAGGCACTTCAGAAAGATACATGGATCCACATGGAGAATGGGCATCATGGGCTCCCCTTCCAGTTCCACCCACCAGCTATGCAAAGGTTTCCCTCACATAGTGGGGAAACTCCCTGGTGGCTGTCAGTTCATCTTGTTCACTGATTGGAAAGCATTGCAGTGTTATGTTTTTAATTCATAGGCTCAAAACCCACAGAAATTATGCATTTAGGAAGACTTTAAGTCTGGTTAGGCAGGCGTACATATTTGCCAAAATTCATCAAATTGTACCTTTAAAATGAGTGCCTTTTAGGGTGATTTGATGCTGTTTTTCAAGTAACTGCAAAGTTCAGGCAACTTGATGGTGCCCTGATGCTTCACCGATAAGCTTCACTCAGGATGCTCCCTGGGAAATCCTGGGGGCGCAGGGAGGGGGGTGCCAAGGCTTGGGGAAAATTCAGGCAGTCATCTAGACGGTTCTCTCCTATCTTGAGTGAAGCAGAGTGTTCCCCTTTCAGCCCAGGAGGCCTTGCAAAGCAGAGATAAGGCTGGGCTGCTGAGGGAGCCCAGAACAAACTGTAGATGTGGGGCAAGTGCGGGAAGGGCCTTCAGCATGTTGAAAGTCAGGACTCCCTGGGGCCATGGTATGTGAGTGTCCCTATGTAGCTATGTTCTTCTGAGCAGGTTTTCCTTTGAATTGGAGCCAGCCTTTGTGCAGACAGAGTGGCAGCAGCTGCTTAAGATTCTTTCCCTCCTCCTCACTGGTGTACCTGGCTGTCGCACCAGGTTCTGGAGGCCCCTTCTTCCGTGTGCTCTCTCTCCCCAAAGCCAGGGTTCCTGCAGCAGGCAGGACCCAGGGCACTCAGGGTCTCAGCCCACCAACTTTGACCTGGGCCGCTCTCCCTTTTGTCTCCTCCTCTTCCTCCTCTCCCAACGTCCAGTAAGTTAACCTCTACAGTGGGCCCATAGGTGTTTCCTTTATTACTTTTTTTAACTGTGCACATGCTTTATACAACTTGTTGCATGTATCACATATTTCACAATTTAAATCAAAAAAAGTTTTAATAAATACATAAAAGAATTATCTGGGGAAACTAAGAAGGAGATAGATTCCTAGCTCCACTACAATTCTGATTCCAGAGACTTGGTCAAGGCCTGGTTAGACGGTGCTGCCGCAGGGGTCAAAGACTACCTTCAGGCACCTGCCTCAGTTAAGAGCATCACAGGGTTTGGCATCAGACTGACTGGGTTCAAAGCCCCAACTCAGGTGACTCTGCTGTGTGACATCAAGCAAGTCTTCTTCATTTGTAAAATGATGATGATAAACTTTGCACAGTGCCTAAGACCTAATGATCAGACAACACAGGTTGGCTATAATAATAATTACAATTATTACCTTTAGTGGACTAAGAGTATTTTCCCCAGATGTGGTAATATCTATTAGCCTGTTCCTATAGTGATAAATTTTCCTGATGATTTTCACTTAGGAAAAACAGACTATTACTGTTAAAAACTTTTCCATAAGCTTCACATTTTTTATATCCTTTGGCTAAATGAGAATCTAAGGGGAATACCATAAACACAGTAATTACATAAAATAGCAACATATTAGAAACAAATAGCCAACAAGAGAGGTAAGGTTACGCTAACTGTGAGCTGTTGAGGCAGGAGATAGTCAGGAGGGAGGAAACTCTGGAGGAGCCCCAAGGCTAAGATAAAGGACTTCGATACAGGACAGAGACCCTGTTCTAAAACCAGTTGTTTCTGCTTTCTGGAAAGGAGCTGAAACATGGTGAACCCTGAATGCATCTGCACAGAAGATGCTACAGGACCCCTGCTTCGTTACAAGAGTATTATAATGAATTAAGATCATGTGGCCCCCTTCCCTGGTGGCCCATCAAGGAAAATCATGGGAGACCATGTACTCAGTAGCTTTAAGATAGTATAACTACTTCTACATGCGCAATAAAAGCCCACTAAAACTAGCCGGGAAAGATCTGCCCTGTAAGAATAGAATCCCTCCAGGCCCTGAGGTCAACCTCTGCTTGGAGTTGGCCTGCTCGCATGTTCTGTCGAGTGTACTATCGCCTAATAAATCTGCTCTCTCTCTCTCTGCTATAAACTCTGTGTTCGGTTTAGTTCTTTCTCTGCAATCATCAAGAATCTGGTTACTGGTGCCCACCTGTGACACTGTCATAGAATGTAATATTAAGCAACCATTAAATACAAATTTATAAAAACATGTAAAAGTTACTTTGTAATGCTAAATGAAAAAATAGCCAGATAGAAACTACATCGCCCATATGACCAAAACTATACATACAAAAAGGTAAAACAAAGTTTCTTTAGAAAACAGTAAAAGAAAATAGGCCAAGTGTTCAAACATAGGTTGTCTTTGGGGTGAGAGAGAGATGATTGTTTTTTCTTCCTTGTTACTTTTCTGTGCTTTCCAAATGTCTATAACAGGATTTTTTAAAATCTTACTTTTTAAAACTATATTTTCTTTTCACCTTTTCAAATCTAAATTAATTTGAGGGCCCTGCCTCAACCAGGCTTTATTAAAGACAATGACATCTCCATACACAGTGCAAGCCACCAGGGCAGAAGAGCGGCTTCAGGGATCTCATTCGATCCTCCCATGTTACCCACGAGGAACCGGAGGCCTAGAGAGGTGAACTGACAAAGCACAAGAAGACAGAGGGCTGGGACCTGATCCCAGGCCCTCCCATGCCGTCTAACCTTTTCCCATTTCACCACACTTTCCCCACACTCTTCACAATCACGATTGTTACACCCTTTACCAGCAAAACCAGCATCACTTGTTAGAAATGCAGACCCTCAGGCCTCTTCCCCAAGAAGGGCAATCAGAATCTACATTTTAACAAGATCTCTGGGGCAAGTTTCTTACAGAAATAACAAAATAAAAGAAAGTCTCTCTTTGATACTTAATTTAGATTGAAGGTCACTTGAGTGACCAAGTTTAAAACAAAGTGGTCAAGTCTGGACAACACTCCCTGGCTTTGTGACATCAAGCATGTTTCTCAGCCAGTCCATGCTTTGGTTTTCCTCATCTGTAAAGCGGGTATGATAAACTCAGCGCGGTGCCTGGCAAGTGCAGAGGTGGAAGCTGGGCTTTATAAACAGGCTAACAAATGTTTCTTGTTTCAACAGGCCTGGCACTCTATGAGAGCTGGGGTTCCCTTAACAGTGCTTGGCACTTAGTAAGCTTTCTATCAGTACGAATTTAATAAATAACTAGCAAGTGCTCTGATGACATCTATCAATTTTTGACTTGGACTGTCCCATTTTATTAGTATATAAGAATTTCAAAACTGCAGTTTTCTACCTTCCAACATTCAAAACTGCCAGCTCTGACATCCACAAGCGAAAAAGAGTAGGTTTAAGATCACTGAAAGCTTAGTAAATCATTCATACGAGAACTTTCTACAGCTGCAGACTTACAGGGCTCAACCATCCATCCTCTCCAATGCTCCACCTTCTTGTTGCTCTGCCCATCGGTTTTCCCTAAGCCACGCCCTCGGCGACCACCTAGCCCCGCCATCTTCCTAAGGCCCCGCCCCCTGAGGCCTGCCAGCCTTCAAGTCCATCTCACACCGCTGCCCTGCCCCGCCCCGCTCGACCCCCCCTGCTCACGCAGAAGGCCCCGCCCCCCCCTCACCCAGGGTGCGTACCCACCCTCTTAGGGCTTGTGGGCTGTCTTGGAGTCTTCACTGACGTCGGCGCTCCTGGCAGGCTAGAAATCCAGCTTCAGCTCACCGCCGCGCCAGGGCAGGAGGGCGCCCCAGGCCTATCCCCCTGGAACGGGGCCTCCGCCCCTCCGCGAGGTAGGGGCGCAGGGGCGGAGGAAGGTCTCTGAGGCCTCGTGAAGGGTCGGGTGCGGCCGGAAGGTAGTGGGGGCTGCAGGGGCCCGAGCCCAGCCGGGAGCCCAGCCAGGGCCGGAGCGGCTGGATGCATCTGTTGGCAAACCGGCTGCCTGGAGGGGAGTGTGTGGCGTGCGATAACGGTTAAGGACGCCAGCCGGGGTGCTGCGCATCCCACGTGCTGCGCCATCGCGCCCAGAACCCCAGGCTTTCCACAGAGGGCAGGCAGTAAATTTTTACTGCCCCCTACCCTGTGCCAGACGAGGTGAGGAGGCCGCCGCAGGGCCAGAGGAGGAGGGAGGGTCGGAGCGTGACCACACGGCACCGCCCCCTGCGCACGACAGGTCTGGGTCGAACAGGAAGCTCTGGGGTTCTGCTGCGGGAAGACGGTGTGTGCGTTCCTCTCTTTGGAGAGAGCGGCCACCTGGGCAGACCGCACCCCGCGTATCCCCTGAAAGAAGAAAGGAAGGTGGGGGTGGGGCAGGCCGAGCCCGAGGTGGACCCGCCTGTGTCTCTGTAGTAGGAATCGTCCTTGGAGAAGATGGAAGGGGAGAAGCGGCGGGAGCCCTACGTGGGCCTATTTGCGGACGGGCACCTGATCCTATGGACGCTGTGCTCGGTGCTGCTGCCCGTGTTCATCACCTTCTGGTGCAGCCTTCAGCGGTCGCGCCGGCAGCTGCACCGCAGGGACATCTTCCGTAAAAGCAAGCACGGGTGGCGCGACACCGACCTGTTCAGCCATCCCACCTACTGCTGCGTGTGCGGGCAGCACATCTTGCAGGGCGCCTTCTGTGACTGCTGTGGGCTGCGTGTGGACGAGGGCTGCCTCAAGAAGGCCGACAAGCGCTTCCAGTGCAAGGAAATCATGCTCAAGAATGACGGCAGGGCCCTGGACAGCATGCCTCACCACTGGATCCGGGGCAACGTCCCCCTGTGCAGTTACTGTGTGGTTTGCAAGCAGCAGTGCGGCAGTCAGCCGAAGCTCTGCGATTACAGGTATGGCCTTCTGTGGGTACTGATTGTCCCACGATGCGCAAGAGTCAGGATTTCAGGGCGTGGGTATAGAGGCCTGCTTGAATCTCAGCAAATGGCCTGAACTGCCCACTTGCAGAAAACAAGCTAATAAACATTCCTGGTATTGTACATGCAGGGCAGCTTTGCAATAGTCATATGCTGAGATGATGTAGACTTGTTCCTCAGACAACCTGTCCTTTTGTCTGCTGTTTTGTGGGCCTACAGCTTTCATCCAGAAGTCTGTAAGGGCTGCGTACCTTATGGCCACTATGTTACAGTTTAACTCTTGTTACTGTTATCTCTGTTTCACATAAGAAAAAATGAAGTATGGACAAATTAACTTTTCCCTAGAATCACAAAACTGACTCATCCCCAGTGCTGTATTGACTGCACAAGGAAAACAAGTGTCATTCTAAAGCAGCATTTTAACTACCTTTTTCAAATATAGGTATCGGTGCTATCATGACATTTAACACTTAAAGGGATACTCCTTTTGTCAGTGGTCTTTCAGGACATGTAGCGTCTTAAACAAGTGACTTTGTGACTAAAAGCCAAGAGTATTTTAATGGCTTTTAAATTTACACCAGACAACATATATTTATGTTCTTAAATATTGTCTGAAAATAGGTGAGGGTTATGTTAGAGATTGGTAATAAAAGGGAATGTGCTTTGCAGATCAGCTGTTCTAACTCATTTTACAGTTGAGAGAATTGTATTCAGTGAGAAAACAGAACGAGTATCCATCCAGGAATTCTAATCCGCTGGACAGGGTTAGGAATTGCTATGTAGTCTTATCTTAGCCTTAAATCTAGATGTCTTTATTGTGATGTGTTTTTTTATTTTGAGTAGAATGGCCCCTAAACATGTTTAAGAACCAAAATAGAAAGCTGGCACTAGATAGCGAGTGGCTTTGTTTGTTTTTTTTATTTTTTCTCTATCTAAAAATCCTTATTTCTTTAATTAGTGTGAGCACTAACTCACACCTGTTTTTAAGTCTTATTTTAAATAGTTTTAACCATCAGATTAGCCTTTAACCATCAGATTTAGACTTAAAAAACTATTCCAACTACAGAGTTTTATGACCATTCATTTTTTATTTGCTCTCTTATAAATTTAGATGTTGTCCTTTCGGTATCTGTGAGAGCTAGGTTACCAATGTTTTCAAATTTTATAATCCTCTCAGTAGGTAAGCCTTTGTCTTTAAGGCTTGGGATTAGCTGGAAAGAAGACATGAACTGAGTATTGTCTTATTTCCTTCCCTTCTTTTGTCTGTGCAGAATTAGATGAAAATGGCTTCTATAAGTATCTCAACTGCGTTTCAAATACTCTTTCACAAATAAACATAGTGCTGATTCTCCACCCAAATGATCTTTCTAGAAATTTGTATCAGACAGAGTCTCTGCTCTGCTTTAAACCCTTCAGTTGCTCCCTTCACATACACTGATGGTCTTTCAGTGTAAACTCCAAGGCCTGACATGGCCCTAAATGCCCTCTGGACCCTGCCTGTCCTTTTCATCTTACCTGCCACCACCTGCATTAATCTTTCATGCCCCAGCAACATCAGGTGGGTTGTGGTTTCCTTTTTCGAGCCCTTTCCTCTAGAAACCTTTGCCTGATCTTCCACTCACCCCCGCCCCCCAATTTTTCCTTCTTGATGACATAATATCCTGTTTCTCTGTAGTTCCCAAAATAAAGTCCCCAGAACCAACAGCGATAGCAGGGTTGCTTAGAAATTTGTTAGAAATGCAAATTTTAGGGTAGTCAGATTTAGCAAAGTAAAAATAATTTTTTTACTATATTTGAGACATATCAAAAAAGTATTTGTTTATCTGAAACTCAAATTTAAGTGAGCATCTTATCTTTTTCTTGGTAACACTGGACCCACTGAATCAGAATTTTGGGCTGGGGACCAGCAATCTTGGGTTTAACGGGGCTTGCAGGTACTTCTGAAGTTGAAGAAACCACTGCTATGTTTATGTAACTTTTTAAGCCTGAGCTTCTGTCCTTAATCTTGTGTCCCCTCCATGTCCCCTTGAGCACAGTGAATGTGATGATAGAGCTCTGTTTCCTCAGTAGCTTGTTCTTACTGGTACTGAACAGTTTATTCTAAGCATGCTAGAGCCCTCCACCCATGGTAGAAGTTGCCTCTGTATAATTTAGGAAAGTTTTATTGTTCACAGAAGAAAAGGGCACATTGTCCTGAAGTGGTACGTATTCTGTGATGTTCTGATTTATTTTAGTCAGTAATTTTATTTAGGATTACAGTCAGCTATGACCTTCTGTAGGAATGAATTATTTTACAAAGAGAAACAAGATAAATATCTACTTAGAACTTTTAACCACAGACCAGACTGTCTGTCTCTGTCTCTCTCTGGATTTTTATCAAGCACTGTGGGGAATCCTAATTTTGGGAAGTCTGAGATTTTAAATGAACTGCAAAGACCATACAAGTTAGCGTTTCAAAGGGCAGTAGTGACAGGTGATACCTGACTTTAAAGTCTGCAGCCCCATTAAACTACAGATAAGTAATAAAGACACTAAATTCATACTCAATCAGTCATTATTAGTTTTCACATTGTAAGCATCTATTTTGTCCCATACACTGTGCTGGATTCTTATTTTCCTATAGGTTTTTAATTAACCTTTGTTCCTTATAGTGTTCTGTCCCATTAAGAAAATGTTAGGAACTTTTGGCCAAGACAGAAGCTTAGATAGATACACTTTGCCTCCTCACACAACCAAAAGAAGAACAAATTTAAAAACTAAAAAGCAACAGAACTGCCAGAAAAACAAACTGTATGAAAGTCTGACAACCAAGGAGTTAAAAAAGAAACATTCATCCAAACTGGTAGGGGAGCAGAAACAGGCAACTGGGTGGTGAGGACGAGCTACAAGGCAGAGGACCGGGCGGGCAAGGCAGCCACTGACAGATGGGGCAATACCACATTTGCATGCAGATAAACTGGGAGGAACAACTGGGGACTGAGACAGACAGCACAACCCAGGGTACCAGCACGGGGAAATAACGCCTCAAAACCTCTAGCTGTAAAAACCTGGGGGCATGGGGTTGAAGCAGTAGGAGAAACTCCCAGCCTCACTGGAGAGTTTGTTGGAGAGATCCACAGAGTCCTAGAATGTGCGCAAACCCACACACCCAGGAATCAGCACCAGAAGGGCCCAAATTGTTTGTGGGTAGCAGAGGAAATAACTGGAAGCTGGGCAAGAGCCAAGCAAGTGACATTGTTCCCTCTCAGACTCCTCCCACTACATTCAGCACCACAACGCAGCAAAGTGGGTTGCCCCACCCTGGTGAGTACCTAAGGCTCTGCCCCTTACAATGTAACAGGTGCACCGAGACAAAGAAATATGGCCCTAATGAAAGAACAGATCAAAACTCAAGAAAAAGAACTAAGCAACGAGGAGATAGCCTGCCTATCAGATGCAGAGTTCAAAACACTGGTAATCAGCGTACTCACAGAAATAGTTGAATATAGTTGCAAAATAGAGGAGGAAGTGAAGGATATAGGGAAGGAAACTGAGACTCAAATGAACCATTTAAACCAGAAGGAAGAAATAAAAATTCATCTGAAACAGAATGAAAAAACAAGAATTTAAAAAAATGAGGAGAGGCTGAGGAACCTCTGGGACAAGTTTAAACGTTCCAACATCTGAATCATAAGGATGCCAGAAAGAGACAAGGAAGGGCAAGAAACTGAAAACTTATTTGAAAAAAGTGATGAAGGAAAACTTCCCCAGTCTGGCAAAGGAATTAAACATGCAAATCCAGGAAGCTCAGAGAGTCCCAGAGAAGGTGGACCCAAGGAAGAACACACCAAGACACATCATAATTACATTACTCAAGATTAAAGATAAGGAGAGAATCTGAAAAGCAGCAAGAGGAAAGGAGACAGTTACCTACAAAGGAGTTCCCATTAGACTATCAGCTGATTTCTCAAAAGAAACCTTACAGGCAAGAAGGGGCTGGAAAGAAGTATTCAAAGTCATGAAAGGCAAGGACCTACATCCAAGATACTCTACCCAGCAAAGCTATCATTTAGAATGGAAGGGCAGATAAAGTACTTCCCAGGTAAGGTCAAGTTAAAGGAGTTCATCATCACCAAGCTTTTATTATGTGAAATATTAAAGGGACTTATCCAAGAAGAAGAAGATAAAAAA